ATTATATTTACTAACTTAGATTTTCTTAATTAAATTATTAGCGTATATATTACTTATAATATAGATCTATTTTACTTTAAAAGTACTAGAAATAATACTACGTAGAAGTATAACTTATAAGTTAAGTTATACCTTAAGAAGTAAAGTTACTAAGTTTTTTAGTCTAGAGAAGAGCTTTCTAATTCTAAGAATAAAATAACCTCTAAGTAGATCTAGTGTTACTAGAATATTTAAGAATTATTAATTTATATAACTACTTCTTATAATCTTAAAAAGAAATAGAAGTTATAGAAGCTAATTATTAGTAATATTAAGAAGTAAGAGAGTATTATAAAAACTTTTCTACTTAACTTAAAGAAGGTTTTCTATATACTTAAAAAGAACCTAAATATAAAGCTAAAGAGAAAGTTATATACGCTTATAGATCTATTAAACTATTAGACTTCTTCTTAGATTATCTTTTTTAAAAACTGTTCTAAAGTTCTAATAGAAGACTAAACCTAGTACTATTTCTTAGTGTATATTAGTAGAATTATAGTAGATATAAACTACTATAATTTTAGTAAGCGCTAGATATATACTAGCTACTAGTTCTCTTACTAGTTAAAGAGAAAGAAATCTAAAGACTAAAAAAAAAGTAACTTTAAGCCTACTTAAGTCTAGAATAGAAAACTTATAAACTATTTATACTCTAAAAAAGTATAAGTATACTTCTAATCTAACTACTACTTTAAGCTTAATACTTTTAGCGCTTTTTACTTCTAAGAGAAAGAGTATAAAGTAAAAGGTATAAAATATAAGCTTCTTATAAAATACTAGATAGTTTATATAAGTCTATAGTATATTACTAAATCTTAGTTTATTAGTAAGATATATTATACTAAAGAAGAAGTTAAAGCTAAAATTAAGTATTATAAGAATAACTTATCTACTACACTAGTTAAGATAGATAAGACTATTTAGTAGTATAAGCGTAAGATTATAGACTAAGATAAAAATACTAGAATTCTAAATAATAAGCTATTATAGAGTGTAGTAGACCTCTATAAAGATATTATAGCTAAACTTAGAATAAAGATTAAAAATAAAGATTAGTTTCTTATCTATTCTAGGTCTTAGACTATATTAAAGCTCTTTATTTTAACTAAATTAATATTCTATAAGCGTTAAAAGCGCTTACTATCTATTACTACTAGTAACGCTTTAGTTAAGAAGAACTATAATAATATTAGTAATAATAAGCTTAATCTAGACTATAATTTTATTTATAAAACTACTAAGTATTATAAGTATAAGGTTTAGTAAGAGATACTTTTATAGAACTAGGTAATAGATAATATACCTTTCTATAGCTCTACTAAAGTAGTTAAAAAGCTTACTAGAGTTTCTTAACTAGTAATTCTATATAATAAGATATTAGTTTTATAACTCTCTAACTCTATAAAAAATAAGTTTAATTTTATTAAGAAAGAAGCTCTACTTACTAGTAAATAAAATACTACTCTAGTAATAAAGAGAGGTAAGTAGACTAGTAGTAGTAACTTTACTAGAAATAATATTACTTCTAATAGTAACGCTACTTCTAGTAGGCCTACAACCTACGTAGTTAGATTTCTTAACTACTTTCTTACGTAAAAAAGAGTCTAGTAAGCTTATAGTTAAACGCTAGCTATAGAAGCTTAACTATCTTTTCTCTATATATTTTACTAGTTATAGTAGACTTTTATAATATATAAAAGTCTAGTAACTAGTTTACGCTAGCTTCTATTACTACTTTATAGTTATATTAGCTTTAGATAATATAATATCTTTAAAAGTTCTTTTCTTTATTTCTATAAATACTTTTACTTTATAATAATTATTAACTAAGTAACTTTATTTTTATAATATTTTATCTATCTACCTTACTTATAATTTATTTTTTCTAGTAGTAATAGCTCTAAAAGTACTATAAGCCTAGCTATAAGCTTATTATATAAGCTAGAGAAAGCTTATTACTTATAACTTTTAACTATACGTACGCTTTTAACTAGATAGTTACTCTATATACTAGGTCTCTATTATTTTTATAAATTTAACTTCTAGTTTTCTTTTTTAAAGCTTTTACTCTTTTACTACTTTAGAGCTAGTATAAGAATATGTTTTCTCTCTTTTCTTTTATTTTTGTAAATATATACTTTTAATAGAATAGTCTTATAAGAAAGCCTATCTTTAGTATATATACTAGATAGCTAGATTTAAAGCTTTACTCTATCTTATAGAATAGTATAAGAGCTTTTAGTTTACTAAAATAGAGCTATTATATAATTATAGAAGAAAGATATACTTAGAGTCTTCTTCTATCTAGATAGCTTCTTAGTAAATATACACTTTATATAAATATACCTATACACCTAATAGACAACATGTATTCTAATGTATATTGTTTTAGAAGAATAAAGTAGATATGCAGTTTACTATACATAGTTTTAAGTTTAAAGACATAAAGTTAAGTGTGTAGGAAAGAGAAGTAAGGAGCTAGAGTGAGTGGTTTTTATACCTACTAAACATCTAGCTAGTCGGCATGACAGAAGACAAGGGGATAGACACGGTTATCGAACCGATTTTGATGGTTTTGGAGGCATACATCGATGTAGTATTTGAAGTTCAGAAAAGACGACATTCTTGATTGCCTAGCAGATTTTGAAAGGACAGAAAGAACATTCAGAGGTTCTTGCGTGAATTTTTTGGTATCGTAGATAGGAAGGTAATGGTATAAGAAAGAGATGTGGACGGCCTGGATCGAAGCTTTTATACGCGCTGAATGCCAAGCTCGTCATGAAGAGGCCAGACGGTATGATTATCGACAGGGACATGGTCTCCTCTCGACGTGATTTCGAAGAAGACGTTCACTGTGGTCAGTACATCGGCCTACAAAACACTCTCACGTAACCATACAGCTCAGAACCGGAAGGTATTTTGCGACAAAGTAACACGGCGCAATCTATTAAATAGACATGGTCTAATGTCTAACAAGGCTGCTCGAGCAGCAACTCCGAGGGAACAGTTCGCGGGAACAAATTGACGACGATCGTTCACGTCGAGCGACGAAATCAACCGCACTACCATCATTAGCACACCATCCCTCAAACACCTCACTCCACAACTTACGCAGCTGATAGTCTACACCCCCAAAACGTTAGCCTTCATTCTCCCCACAACACCCAAGATCAAAGTACTTACACCGCCAGCACCACACCCATTCAAACTCGGCCGTCCCCCACTACCAGGGTAAACGCAATTCCTAAACGTAGGAAAGTTCCTGCTAGGCGCTCCAGGGCTCTGGCACTACACGCATGTCATGTTAGAGGCCGAAACTGGGTTCGTTTACGGCACTATTGGTGACTCACGCAGAAGGAGTTTGGCTGGGAGATAGTTAGCAACTGTTTCGAAGGACGTGTTTCTTTGGGAAGGGGAGAGGAGAGGATTAGGAGGGGATTGGACTGGATTGGACTGGACTTACGTAGGCACCAGGGCACGTAGAACCACCCGGTAAACCCCATCCGCCGTTACAAAACGCGGCTTCGGACGCGGCGGCGAGGGCGAGGATAATGGGGGCGAAGAGTTTCATGTTTGTTGTTTTAACGTTAACGAACGTATAGTGTGTTATCCGAAGATAGCCAGCCTTGCGTAACGGGACGCAAGCGTATATATATCAACCGCAGCCAAGACGATCCATATTTGTACTCAGGGCCACAGGCAGTGCACGCACACGTCGCATGAGTAATAACCCGAGGTCTAGTGCGCGTCGTTTGGTATTAACAGTGGTTCTCCCTTGAGTTGTAAAGCCGCGATTAAACCGTGCCCAGGTGTGCTAGCTTCACACAGCTAGCTGGTTCCGTATTCCTGCTCTCATAAAGTAGACCGCAGTACAGATTGCGCGGCTAGCTAGAGACGTTTGACAGGAGAAACGCGAGATGCTGATACCAACATCCGTAGAAGGTTCGAGCTGTCCATGTTTTAAGCTGACAGTCCGCTGATCTCACGGTAGTCAAGGTAACTGCCGGTCATCGTGATTGTGATTGCGATGGTGGGAATCAAAGTCCCCGAGAACCAAGTCCCCGGTTGCAATTGAGGCGGTATATCGAGATCGACAACGCGATAGCAGTAGGTACAGGGCTGGGAGACAAGATGGACAGTGCAGCTTACGCTAGCACTAGGTTCAAACGTAGTTAGAACCGGTACTAATATGTAGACTTTTTGGTAAATTCCCAGTGGCTAAGGTGAAGGGCCGAAGACGAGGCTGAAGCGGTGCATTGCTTTCATGAATACCCAGGTATTCAGATGCTGAAGTAAAAGCATAAAGCGCAATGCAGATGTTTTCTGTACTACGATCTTGATCTCTAAAACTCGACCATCTCAATCATCACCAACCTACCCAGGGCAAGGTTCAAGTAGTCACACTCAGAACAACCCTCCTTATGCCATCCGCTTGGCTACTGCGGTGGCGATAGGTGGAGCGGAAGCGTGACGCTCCGGCGAGCCGGGCAGCGATGTGAACATCTGCGCGAGCGAGGCCAAGATCGCGAAGAGGGATATTAATTTCAGGAGATCTGGTGACACGACGTTCGAGAGGGAGGTAAACAATGTTGTTGTTGGAGTGAACGTGACCAAGAAGACACATGAAGATACGGTGAACAAGGGAAGACCGTTGTTTAGGCATGCTGAAGACGTAAGAATGACCTCGAGGCAGATACATAATATGATGAAGAGGTGGAAGAATGAGTAACAGTAGTGACTTCCACCACATACACAGACATCCGCCTGACAAGACATCCAGCGCCCGCTCGATCCTGGATAAAAGGCCAAATCAATATTATACATGGACAAGCAGCAGAGCCACATGCAACAAGTGTCGACTGGACGAAACTCCTCGCGTCCGGTAGGACATCTTCAGTACCATCTCACCCACGACTTGAACACGAATAATAAACCCAACTCTACCCTCACCAAGTCCGTTCTCACGACTTATCCTTATCCAAAGCCCCAGCAGACGCTTTCGTCGCTTGTACTCCATGCACGCTCGCCTTCTCAACCTGGTTTCTAGTAAGCAAGGGACCTTCTTGTAACTCCGCGACTTCAGCCGTTGTTGCCGGAACAGTACCATCTCTCCTCCCATGTCTATCCTCTCCCTCTTTCTCTTTCATCGCCATCCCGCTGTCCACCGCCGCTTCTACGATCGAACTGCTTCCCTCAACCCTCTCCCTCGCCTTCTGCAACCTTAACAATACAACATCCGCCGCTCTCAAAAACTTCCTCCCGTCTTCTGCATCCTTCTTCCACCTCTCCCTCTTATCCCTCGGCTGTCTATCGTCTTTCCAACCATCCTCAAATGTCTTAACCTCTGCAGAGATTTGTAAATGTATTCTTTCTAACTCGCCCATTGCGTATGTCGGTTTGTGCGTGGCGAGCACTATGGCTTCGGTCGTGGGTGATATGGATGGCGGCTCGGGTGCCCAGTTGGCGAGCCTATCCGTCCCTGTCGCGGTGGTTTGGCCTGCTTCCCAGATGGTTTTGTGTCGGACGCACATGCGCCATTGTATGAGCTTGACGTCGATGTCGTGGGCTGCGTTGCGAAGACTGACGTGTGCTACCTCGACGAGCTGGATTTGTCGGAGGAGGTCTTGACGTTCATCCTCATCTGTAGACCCCATGTGGCAGTAGTCGTACTTTTGCTGTGCGTTTATGTAAAGCAGGTATTCGGCCTCCTGGAGTAGTTCCATCTTGTCTGCTTCCATGGTTTCCATAGTAGCCAGCGTGCTTTCAATGTCGATGCGTCGCAGGTCTTCGGCATAGTCGACGGGTGTGGTGTAGAACGGTGGCTGTTGCTCGACAGGTGTTGCAGCATCTGTCATAGGCTCACTGCTGCTGTTTTCGAGTTGCACGTCCTGTTCTGCTCGCTCAAAGGCCTCATCTGACAGCCACCGTGTGTACCAGAGGCTGTTGTGTGAGACGTATTGCTGCATGATGGGGTCGAGGCTCGCCATGAGCTCCGGATCCCAGAAGATGTTCCAGAACTCGAATGATCGTCGCTTGACATGTCGACCAAAGTGTTTGTATGCCTCCTGCCTCTCCCCAGTGTACTGAAAGTATGCATGCGCTCCGAGCACACCTGCGCAAGCGCCGATATTTGTCATGCCCAAGCATCGCGTCCACCTCGGTATAGTAGGCCGGCGCATAAACAGCGTAGGCACCGAGACAGCGAGCCCCAATGCCGCGCCTGCCAAAGCACCATCGTCAATGGTATAGTTCTTTGTCCGCTCATACAGCTTCCAGGGCTTGATTTCCGGTACATTCGTCGACACCAAGACATCCGCAAGAGAAGAATAGTAATACCAGTTCAGCGCCGCTCCAGCCACGCCTGCCCAAACTCCAAGCCTCGCCGAAGCCCGTATGAACACCGCTGGCCGCGATATCGGCCTTGTAGGAGTGACACTCTGCGCATATCTCGAGGCGAAGGACGTATACGCGGCGGCAAGGGCGGTCGAGGAGATGACGGCGTACTGAGGTGTCGCGTTCGCACCGATGGGATCAGGCCGTTTAGGAGTAAGGCGATGTTGCCCTTCGCCTATACCGTTTTGTTAGCAACTACTTCTCCACATCGTCTTCGGCGAGACATACCAGGCGGCGCAAAGAGTCTCAGGACCATGGCGCCAAAACTACGCGTGTAGTACAAGATAAGCGATAGAGTGTGGTATCATATGCGGTCCACGATACACGGCTATGAAATAGTGTGCGGCTGCAGCGAGCGCGTGGGGCATTCACGAGGCCGCTCATGGCAGTGAAGGTGCGCGGGCACTACCGGTGAGTGCCCGGATTGGCGCGCCTGGAGGGTGTCATGAGGCAGATGTGAAGGAACAAGGTTCCGGAAGCAGCTACGGCGGGCGGCCGCCGGGAAGGCGCATCGCAGCGGGACAGGTTTAATCCCTGCCATGTTCGCATGAGAGGGCTGAAGGGGGGCGCAAGGGGCGAGGCCGCGTGAAGAGGGTGTCGTTGTGTCTTAGTCGGGATGGGTGGTCGAGAACTCGCGATGATGCGTGAGGCCGGGGTCGGAGGGGTGCACGTGAGGACGTGTGGTCAGACGACCTCATAGGTCCAGACCGCCAATGGATGATCGCATCTGGTCATTGCGCGAGTGGAGGATGGAGTCTCGTCGGGTACAGCATCACACAAAAGACGATTTCACTACTTCGGTACATCCATACAGTAATTAATGCAAGCTTCATTCCCCGATTGTTGTCAATTATTCTACTCCGCATCGCACAATCATTACCACGCATCCAATCTCGATCCCATCGCCCGATTACAACGACTATCCATACTAATTTAGTAACACAAGCTTATATCGAAATCCACACCCGCTTTTCGTATTGAACACAGAAAAAGAAATAGTCAAACGAAAGAGGTAATCCCAAACGCCATCGCTAATACGTTTTAAAAGCAAGTTCAACGCCAGAAAACGAGAGGAACATGCGCAAGGACCCCATCCACCCACGCTAAGTGGCATTAGTACAAAGGTAAGCGAAAGATCGGAATCGAGAATCGAGAAAGAGAAATGGCATGCGAGCGGGTACGAGAACCGAAGCAGATCGCAGAAGCAAAGAAACTGAGAATGGGGAGAAGATGGAGGAAGGAGCAGAAGGAGAAAAGCGTCAGAGAACGCAAGCCCTGCCTCAGTCAGACTCCCACCAGACCAACTTCACATCACCCCGCCCTCGTATCCCTCCGCTGCATAACAATCTTCGCATCCTCGCTCCTCAAAAATTCAAACACACCCAGCTCCAGCCTCGCCAACCCATCTTTAAACATATACTCGCTCCCCTCCGTATTCGTCATAACCCTAAAAGCCATGCAAAGCAGATCCTCAGGACTCAATCCATCAATACTACTCATATTCTTCCACTTCAACCGCATAGCCCTAAGATCGTTCATAGCAAGTAACCGGTCTACAAGGCCAATGTGAGACACGCCGGGGTTGGCGGCCATGCTGTGCCGTAGTGAAGCGATGGCTTGACGTTCATGTAGCCATGCAGTGAGGATCTTGGAGACGAGATCGTAGTGTGTGGATAGTTCGGTGCGGAAGAGGGGTTCGCCGTGGTACCAGAGTGTGTGCATGCGGACGAGGAGGCTGGCTTCGTCGGGCGGCATTGTGGAGCGTGGGTAGAAGAAGGTGAAGAGGCCGGCGGTGACTTCGCATTGGAGGAGGCGGAGGTCGGCCGTCGACACGGAGCCGCGGGGGAAGGTTTGGGGTTGTGAGGGCTGGACGACGTGTGCGGTTTCGGGGGGTTGAGGCGGTTGTTGGTGGCTTTTCAGCACGGGTTGGTGCGGTGAGGTGTGTTGGGCGGCGGCGGCGGGTTGGCTGTGGTTTGAGGGGGCTCGGGGTTTGCTCGAGGGCGCGGGCGGTGCGTCTTGTGTGGTAGGAACGAGTTGTATGCCGTATGCGGGGGCGCTTTGTATCGCGGGGGCAGAGGTAACCTGCTTATTAGGTGCCATGATAGACTGATTAGGTGCGGCCTGCGCATGTGGTGTACTAGATCTACTGCGAGGGTGTGGTGCGAGGGAACGACCGAAGGGGTGGCTCGGGGTATTAGATCGACTTGGTGGTTGGGGTGGAGGCTGTTGCTGAGCCTGGATATGCGGATGTGATGGTAGCTGTGTATGCTGAGGATGATGTGTATGCGGTGATGCCTGGTGTGGGTGTGAAGGGTGGGACGGTGTCTGTTGCTGCTGCGGTTGTGCCTGAGGTTGCGGTTGCGACTGCTGTGGCTGCGGAGCAATTTGTGTATGCTGAGGAGGTTGAACGGCAGGCGACTCCCTCTTCATATATCCACCTGCTCCATTAGCTGCTGAAGATGCGTTCACTGCTTGAAATCCTTGATTCGAAGCTGGTGTAGGGGTGGCTGGCGGTGCAGAACGAGGAGTTTCCGTAGCAGATCGAGCCATGGCAGCACTGCGTGAAGACGGCTCATATGGGCTCGTATAACTGTTGCTGTGACGATGTCCAATACCGGGAGGGGGTCGATGCACCTCTCTCGACGGTTCTCGGGATGCTTCCCGTGTTGGCTCTCGAGGTGGCTCGCTAGGTGGAGGCGTGTTGTTAACAGCAGTGAAACCTCCATTGTTGACAGCCGTGAAGCCTGCAGGTGCGGAGCTTTGGGTGATAGCAGGAGGCCTTGACACGCCGTTCAAGTCGTTGTTTGATAAGGGACTGAGCTGTATCCGCGAGGGTTCAGATGCGGTTCCTGGTGCTGGCGAGAAACGATGCATATGCGTCGGCATAGGAGGTATGTTCTCCATGCTGCCCGGGCCGGCAGGATACAGTGACTTGAGTGACTTCCTTGGGCTGCCCTTTCGGCTCACAGGCATAGTGCTGTACGGCCTTTTGATAGGCGAAGCCTCAGGATCTTCATCGTCGGACATGGTGAGGTGAGCATTGCTCTTGCGCTTCTTCAGATTAATAGGTTTAACGTCTAGATCAGCACCTGCAACAGTATCCGGATCAGGTGGGGTGAGTGACTGTGGCGTCCCATGTGGTGACTACCGCTTATTAGCCATGACAGCACCAACTATCTCATCAAAACTTACAAGACCTTCGGCGTCGATATCGGCAAGCTGATCATACTCATTCGCACCCGATGGTCTCTTCAACTTCATGTTGCGAATGTAGTAGCAAGCTTTGATGATGATCCACCGATGCAGATGAATCTTGAGACTAAAATAGGTTTAGCGCGCGTTCTGACACCTGACACCTGACCACTCCAACTTACATATCCTTATGCTCCGGCTCCTCGTAAAACAGATCTTTGTTATACGTCTTCTTCGTCGCATCCGGCGTGAGTAAACAGCTGCGATCCGCATCCCTGCCCCAAATAGCGGGTCCGTAACTCGCTAGCAGGTCCTCGAGCTCCTGGTTCAGGGAACTCGGATCCGCCGCGAAATCCAGCAACAAATCTCTTTCTTTTGGCAATTCCTTGGACAGCTTCGTCACCTCACTCGAGAGCTTGCGGTAGTCTGGGTTGTCGAATTTCGGAATGCCGCGGTTGGTCGTGGACGAAGACGCCGATAAGCCCAGGCCCAAGCATTCCGTCACCTCGCGTATAGTCGGGTTATGCGAGCTGAAGACGGATATCCAGCGAGCGCGATCCCAGCGTCGCACGCCGTGCTCCAGATCCAGGGCCAAGTTATCCTTTGAGCTCATGGCGCCACATGGGTGACGACGGGCACGTCAACAGTTGAAATGGGAAGTAGGAAAATGACGATGGAAAAGTAAGCGGATGGGATGGGGAATGACAATCAATGGCGCGTGCGCCAAAGTGTGATGGATCCGCTCTCGACGTTCCAAGGTTGGGGTGATTGATGGTAGCTCGCTCGGCAAAGGTAAAAGGAGTACGTTCCACTAGGCCGTCTTGGAACAAAGTTTTCTTATTGCCAGCTGCTGCTACCCCAAGAAAAACTTTGTCCAGTCTCAGATGCCGATCGTGCTACCAAACTAGACAAAGAATTGAAAGCCCCTGTACACAATAGAAGAACAAACTGCGCAGCAATTGTACTCTGGAGTAGGGACCAACAGGCGCTGATGAGGGGGGCGTAGGGCGGCGAAAGAAGGATTGGTGATGATGATTGATGCCGGTGACGTGTAGAAGGCGAACGACGGTACGCTGCGTCGAAAAGATACCCAGAAAAGAGGTGTGTCCAGTAGCGAGACAATGATCCGGCAGGGGCCGCAACAAAACATGTGCAGAGGTAATACGCGTCCGCACTCCGAAGTTAATGACTCGCACGCCAATAAATCCCCATCAGGTGTAATCATAGTACCGCCCCATCCTCATTCGTTCACACCCAGCGGGTCTCCTTTGCCCTTGCCTGTTCATTGTACGACACTTGCACTATGAGCGTGGTGCTCATTTGCTGCATTATGCTAATCATATCTATCGCAGGGGTCTTCATCATACACGAGGTACAAATGAATATGTCGCTAGCAGCACAACTCTTACTCGCATAGGCCAAAACATCCGATCCTCTTACTCAAAGCCTCCATTAGCCGCCACATGCAATCAGCGAATAAGCGGCACTATCACGGTTTCGTATAGCCGGGGATGGATGTCGTTGGTATCATGGTCAGGAGTTACAACTACACATGCATCTATGACGCGCTCGTCCCTCACCCATAGATTTGTACTACCGAGCTGCGATTACTCAACTGTGCGACCGGTTCCTGTCCAGACCGCGCGCCGCATAATATTGATGGGAGGTACAGCGAGATCTGATAAACGCCACAGCTCGAAAGAAAAAAATGTGAGGCAATGTGACGAATGTGCGGCGCGGTCACTGCCTGCACTCTAAAATAGGAACGTGGCATTAGGGAGATTTACGGCGCAGTGCGGAGCCTGAAGACAACGCCCCTTGGCTGCAGGGAATACACTAAGCGAAAAGGTATACTGCGAAGTGCTGCCGAGCCGTGTATTCATTCGGATACTAGCTGCCGAACTATCGAAGTTGCGTACAGTCGCGCCCTCACTATGCGCTCGCGCGTTCCAGGCGATCGCAAACTAAAGCAAATCACGCGTCGCAGAGTCCCGTACTGCATGGTGATGAGGTGTGGCACAGCTGAGCTAGTGTAATCCTACACGGTCCTGTAACATGATCAAGTAGCTGAAACCACCACTCTACGGCTGACCTACCCGAATAGCTTATTTTCCCGAATTGGACACCTACTAGTGGGGGCCTCGACCCTGGCGATCGATCGTCGCCCTGAAAACCTGAACGCCTGTATGATCCTCGTACACAGTTTTTGCGACTACAGCTGCCTGCGCGCACGATACGTGCGCATCTCCATCGTGGTAATCGTGACTAGCGTCGTGACTCGCCAATATACCAGAGCATACCCTTTCCATCTTCCTCTTCTTCCTTGCGGAAGCTCTCCAAGTGGTCGTGCAGCCAGCCCATTACTTGCGTAAAGTCTACTGGCTTCCACTGCATCTCTACTGCGTACTTTTCTCCGGCCAATACCACTATGGCCTGTCGCAGGAGCTCATCGCGGTCGACAGCGACGTTGGGGCCGAGACCAAATCCTCGACCCACGTCTTCAAAATTGGCGATGATGGTTTGCGTGCAGCCCATGAGCGTGCGGTGCTGTTGGATGCGCCTCTCGATCTCGGCAGCTGTGTGGCCTTCGGCTGACCAACCTGCAGTAGGGTAAGTAAAGATAGAATGGATGCAGATGCAGTTGGTAAAGCGTACGTTCGTTTGCTCGTAATAGAGCTGCCAGGTGGCGCTTAAGTTCCACCCAAGTCAGAAATGCTCGTTCCCTCGCAATGAAAACGGGTATGTTTTCGATCATCTTATTGTAGTCGGCTCGAACGCCTTCTCGCCATGTTCTTTCGAGTTGGTTGAGGAGCGCTTCCTCGTCCATTGAAACACCTCGCTCCTCTCCATATATGTACTGCCGCAGCGCCCGTAAGCCGTCGTAGTCTAAACCACGGTAGGGTATGCTGTTGTTTGGTTGCGGGAGCTCTTCTGGCACACCGTCATCTGACCGAAAGCTTGCTACCAGCGCGGCCATTTGGACGCTGACTTGTCGATCAGCAGCCGCTTGGGTCGCGTCGGTGATTTGCTGTTGTGCCGCTGCTTTGGTCTCGGTAGGATGTGCAGCGTGGGTAGGAGCAGGGCCTGACATCGTACTGAGATATCGAGACTTGTTCGCTTCGGCTGTGAGTTTGTTCCAGACACCCTCGGCGATGTTGGATTGTTGTGTAGCCTGTTGTTCGTGGGCTTTCGCCGATGTAAAGGCGGCATTGCCATTCGTTGCATGTCCACCGCCATTGACAGCTGTAAACCCGCCTCCTTCCCGCGGTCCCGTAGTGGGACTTTCCCCAGATTCCGGAGGTGTGAGCATTGCACTTGACGACATCGGGCTTCCACGTGACGCTGTATCGCCGTCGTGCAACACCGAGTTTGGCGCAAGCGCAACAAATGATGCTGGCGTGCCGCCTTCTTGCTGGCCAGAAAACTCGGCATCAGCTCGCGCCTGGCGATTTTCTGCCTTCTTTCGTCTCTCGCGATCCAGGCGTTCGCGCGCAAGAATGACGTTGCATGCCTTCAGCCCGATCCACCAATGGAGAAGTTTGTGGATTCTGCGTGGTGGGTCAGTAGCTATTCGGCCGTATTGCGAGACCCAAATTCGAGATAGATGTGCTCTCAAACTTATGTACTTACAATGCTCTGTCTTCCTCGTTCTCCAAGTAAAGATCCCGCGGGTAAAGTCCCTCTTCGACTCCGGGTTCATTCGCGGTGATTAGGTGCTCGCGATCGCCCACTCTTCCCCAGACCTTGGCGCCATGTTTCTCAAGCAAGCCATCGACTTGCTCCTTCAAACTTCCCTCGTCGCTCAGAAACTTCATCAGCTCATCCGGCTCTTTCGGTAACGTGGAGACAACATCGCCCATGTCTGCAACAAGCTCGCGTACGAGGGCGGATTCAAAGTTTGTTTTACCGCGTTTGTTCGATGACCACTTTGCGCGCAGTCCAAGACGCTCAATCAGCTCGTGCATACGCACTTTTGACCGATTCTTCATAATGTCCAGCCAGTCCTTGGACGTTGCGTATGTGATAGCTGAGCCGTCCATGGTGTATGGGCTAGATGCATGGATCGCAAAATCTCGCCAGGTGAATTAAATGTAGGCTAGCGATGCAGCCGTACACAGTCGTATGAGTTCCGAGCGTTGTGGTGTCGCGACTATGCAAGGGAGGTGTGATGTGTAGTGCTGATTTTCTCGGGTATGATTACATGCAGATGCTCTCAGGACTGGGGCAGCCAGATCGTGCAATTTCGCCAAAGGGCCGTCTAGAGCATGTACGAGTCAGTGATGGGGCGCGCAAGGGAAACGAACGACATTCTCAAAGATGAATCGAGAACACGATAGATGATAAGAAAAGTACAGATGAAGAAACCATAGCGGCGTATGAAAGCTTCGTCTACAGGGTTAGCGGCACCCGCCTGGGAATGGCAGGCGGAACCAGAGGGCAGTTGCTGCCGATTGGCTGGAACATCGCGTTAGCCGACGATCCCCCCAAATCACTTACACAAGGCATTGTGCACATTGTTCTTCGTCTACGAGGTGGCGAAATGCAGCTCACCGCTGCTGACAGTAATGTCTTGTGGCCCAGGTCTATGCATACGACTGCATTTCCTTTTCCACTTATTGGCGCGACTGACATCAGATGCGCAGTCGCGGGCAGATTTCGCTGGTGTACAGGCGATGGGGAATTACTACATCATCGCATGTGCTGTAGCATATGCACACACCCAAACAGAGGCTCTGCAAGTTTTGCGAGAAAAGGCCACATAGAGATCGTTATTAGTAATTGTATGTATATACATTTTATAGGCGGCCTTAAGCTCTAGTTTGTATTACACTTTGTAGAGATAAAATTTTGTTCTATCTAATTAATTACTAATAATACTACTAAACCTAATAATTTTAGTAAGTTAACTAGCCTACTAAATTTATAATATATAGTTTATTTATCTTTATAATAGTAATAGTAAAGCTATAATTACTATCTTTAATAGCTATTTATAATACTATACTAAACTTATATAACTATTTTTCTAACTTTTATAGTAGTATTAGACTATATAATAACTACTACTAGTATTTCTATTTATATATTAAATACTATATATAAAATATAAGATCTTCTTTATTTATAAAATACTTTTTTTACTTTAGATATAAGCCTAGTAGTTATTATATATAAAATCTACTTTTATATTTTTTTTTTACTATATATTTTATAAAGTAGTAATTTAGTTTTTTACTATTTTAGTATTTTTAATACTTAGTATAGCTACTTTTAAGTATACTTTTAAAGTAGTAGTATTAATAGTAATAGTATTAAGATACTTAGTATATATTTATATTTTACTTTTTTTAAGTTTTAAATATATCTCTTTAAAGTTAATAAAAGTCTTCTTATTATAAAATTACTAAACTTAAGTAAAGCTTAAGTTTATATAAAAGTTAAAAACTTAATTTAAAAAAGTAAGTAAGTTATTAAAGATAAAGTTAATACTATAAAAGCTTACTAAGCTAATAAAAGCTAGTCTTAATAAAAAAAGTATACTAAAGTATAAAACTTAAAAATAAAAGTTCTTAAAATTACGTAAAATAAAAATATTAGTATTATTAAAAGTATTTATTATATAGTAATAGCTTTAAAAGTAAAAGTTTATTTAAAAAAGTTCTAATATAGTATAAGTAGTAGTAGATATATAAAAAGATATACTAACTTATATATAAAAATATATAGTATTTCTACTTTATAACTTACTTTATAACTTATTTTAATAGTTCTTTAACTAATAAGCTATAGTTATATTACTTATTTTATTTAAATTTTAAGAAAAATAATAAAGTAATTATATTACTTATATAGTAATTTTTTTTAAAATAAGCTACTTACTAAAGTATTAGTAGCTAAGCTAAAAAAGCTTAGCACGCTCTTGCGTATACTTTAGATATAAAATATATATTAAACTTTAATTTACGCCTTTATAAGATACCTAGTAGAGAGTAGTTATCTATTTAAGACCTAATTTTTTTAGATTTAAGATACCTATTACGCTGTTTAGAATAAAACATACATTTTATGAGTTGCCTGGATCCTGCCCAGCCTTATAGAGCACCAGTGCTATACAACCGCCAGCCTGGTATCGATGCTTTCGACCAACTCGCACGCGAAAGATCAAAAGTGATCGGGGTATATGTAGGACAACGCAAAAAAGCCATCGATGTACTCAATGGTATATAGATGCTAGAGAAAGTGAGAAAGAGCACACCTTCGAAGAACGCCGAGGGTGGAATTCTAGGAAGAGAATTATCGGTGACCGTTGTTCATGCCGCTCAAGCAGGGTTTGGCCGGCTCAAAGACTTGAGTACGATATCGACTTTTGCTTGAGGATTGTCTGCCCAGATAGAGGCTTGAGCAAGTGTAGTCTGTAGACGATCGAATGCGGTCTCCGTGCCTTTGCGGGCTACGATCGCTTTGCTGATACCGTCACCAAGATCGTATATCAGTTTCCAGGTTTTTGTTTTCTCCAATATGCTCGCAGCAGACGGTAGGTCCTCAGATTCCTCCTCCAGCAGGCTGAGCAGGCCTCCAAAAGACTTGCATTCGCGCAGCGTATGAATAAAATCCATTTCCATGCCTTCATCATCGACCGACCAGATAAAGTACACGCGCTCGGCTTGTTCGTCGGTCAAATCAAGAGAGATGATGCTGGTCGAGTTTGTGCGCTTGATGACTTGAGGCGGAGGTTTGAATGTATCCGCGGGCGTTGGAGCATGCTGTTTGACATCGTCGACAGGTGTTTCTGACGTTCGTTGAGTCTGTGTATGTATCTGTGGCTGCGGTTGGGGTTGGGGTTGGGTTCGGGGTTCCGGCTCTGGCTGTGGCTCCGCTACAGGTTGTGGTGTCGGTTCTTGTTGTGGTGTCGGTTGTTGTTCTGGTTGCAACTGTGAAGGGCATGTACTGCTATCCTTGGGAACAACGTCGATCACGTCCGATATCTGTGTCCTGTTTTCGCTAAGCTTTCGCCGCTTCCTCGCTGCGGGTTGCTTAGTATGAGCATCGCTTTCATCATCATCGACCTTTGCCATGGCATTCGATGCTGGAGGTGCGGCATTCGGTGCTGAATGTGCAGCATCTTCATCAGTAGATTTCGATAGCTTGGGGGTAGAAGAGAGACGATGTCTTGGTTCCGGTAGTCCCCTAAGCTTCGAGGCGATGTCAGCTCGCTCTTGCGGAGACAACACTGAGAGCACGGTCTCTAATGTGCCAGCATCGCTGTCAGGATTGCGAAGTGTGAGCATCATGAAATTGTTGGCGAACTTGTCTCCCAGACCACCTCCACTGATCTGCAGAATTAGATGTGAGGTCAGTATGTTTTCCATGGACTATTCGTTGATCCGAGTCTTACCTCGTAGGGGCGATAGGCTTGAAGACCTTGTAAAGACCTGTCACTCGTCTGAGGTAGCATGATGGCAAAAACCCCAGCGTCGTCGTCGCCGTCGAGTGGCATAATAACGACCTTCTGTATGCTGTCAGTATTCTGAACGATGTAGATTGTATGTTTCTCGGTACAACTCACAACCTTCGGTCCGAACTGCACTTCGCTGAAGGCAATAACAGCTGAGTCTTCCCTAGCACAGCCTCGGCAGACAGCGTTGCGATTCTCCCTAGGACTCCCTGATACTATAGGAGGGTGTGGAGGAGTGAACTTCTTGTAATTGGCCTTCAAGTCGTGAAAGGAGGGAAGCCCTCGGAATGATTGGCTTTGCCTGTCCGGAGCCAGGTAGCCAATCCAGACGCCCCGCGCAAAGAGCTGATTGGCCGAATAAAAATGACCTTTCAGATGAGGTTGCGAGTTGAAGCAACCATACGAGATGGAGTTTTTCCTAGGACTGGTGTTTCGAGATTCTTCCATAGATGCCTGCAGTGCACGCAGCCTAGGTGACATCATTGGCGAAGTCAGTTCGCTCGACGCGCTACGACGTGCCGGCTGCGCATCGCTTTCTGGAGATGCCGCCTTGGAATTGGTGTTTATTTCATTTGAGTTGGAGGGTGTTTGCAACCGGATTGCGTCACCAGGCTGAGGGCTGTTGTTGTCGAGACTGGGCTCGCGGGCGCGCTTGCAGCTTGTTGACGGGGCCCTCGACACAGGTGTGCGCACACTCTTCCGTGCTCTTTGGGGCTGGGGCGGCATGCCCGAGTGTTTGGGTGGCATGCCGGCGAGATGTCGGATAGCGACTGGTAGGTGGTGATGGCGGTCTGTTGTTGCACCATGCGGCTGCGCGCGCTAGCGTCCGTGCAGGGCTTTAATTGGCCCACAATTCTGCATGGCATTTTAACTCCGTCGCAGCACCGCCATGGTACATCCCATCTCCCTTCACTTTAACGCGAACAACCGTGTCGCGATACGTATAGCACGCGACATCGGAATGCGGGAGTTTTATCAGTGAGCACGAATAAGACGAAAGCTCCTCCTTGCCAATTGAGGACGCGTCAAGTAAACAACGAAGGAGCGAGGACGCGTCTGTCTCGACCGGAGTCTAGATGGGAAGCGCCTTGCATTAAACCGCTGCCCACTCCATCACCACCACGTCCGAAATCTATTCGCAAGCTCTCACCGCTTGAAACCGACGTCGCCAGCTGCGGTGTACATCACAATTGCCAATTGGTTTTGTGTCCATCAAATCACCACTATACCCGAGAATGGGGCGGCAAAAAGGCGAAATCGGCGTTGCTCATCATATAGAATGTCTTGGACTTCAGACGTATGGGAGGGAGAGGATTGAACCGGGCTTCGTTATGAGAAAACCAGTGTTCAGGTATGAGCCCGCCACTGCAATCCACGAACTCGAGGTACCGGCTCTGCTTGGTCTACTACTACGCGATGCACACGATGCAAATACTGTCATCGATCGACACGATCCCATGCTCCTCGATAAAGAGCTAGACCAGCTGTTAGTCGAGTATGGTCCTCTGATCTGGCCTGAGCCTGGTCAAGGAAGTAGAGACCATCTCCGAAAACCACAAGAGGGTACCCGATATCCGGCTGATTTGATCTATCCGAGAGACAGTACCACGTAAGTCCGCTCATCCAGGTACTGGGTGCGAGCTAATGGAAGCAGCATCAAGAAACACCTGCTGGGCATGGTTCTCTGCAGGCAGACTCGCACCGACGTAGAGACCTTCATAAACAGAACATACATGAAAGCCCTGAAATACAAGAAAAGAGACCTAAACATCGATAATAAGCCTTGGTTTCAAGGTTGCAGATTCGTAGCCTTAAACGAGAAAATACCAGTGAGGAAGAGACGCAGCACTGGTACGACTACTACAGCAGACGAACCCGCTCCTCAACGCGCACGTTCCGAGGAAGACCAAACAGATGTTGACTCCGATACGTCTGAAGATTCGGTGATGGGCACCAAGATAGGATGTCCGACCCGCAGGACAAGCGCGCTTTCACCCGAGCCGTCACCCTTTAAAGTTGAATTACGAATCTATCGCACCAAACCACCGGGCCAGCCAATCGGCCCTGGACCGACTTGGTCTTACGGCAGTTTGATGTTTACTGGAAAGGAAACAACATGTGAAGACTTCTTCGGTCTCATATGCAATCAGACCAAAGCCGACTGCAGCTTCCTCATCTTCCAGTTGCCCGAGGATATGTCCATGGACGGAAGGGTGCGCATCGACCGAGGATCCAAGGAATCTGAGATGACCTACCGACGTACCCTGGGTATTTTGCAAAGGGCGAGGAGGTTTCCATGCGGTCCTGCGCACCGTTCGGTGGAGCTGGAAATAGGGTTCGAGACAGTCGTTGATTAGTGTTTTGAGATACCCCGTACTTCGCGCCTGCGACTACCAGTTCTTCTGTGTGAACTGCGTTCGTGCATATCCTTCGCTGTATCTCTTTCTTCTTCAACACCGGCGCAGGCGACGGCAAGATGTCAAACGCTTAAGCTTGAAACCCCCAACACACGAGTGTATCGATGTAGCTTGTTGACATGACAAGATGTATATAACATGACCTCGTTATTCGTCGTGTAATTAGTGTACCCATATACCCAACCTTTTCTTTTTGTACAAAACACCTCCTTGTGTATTCCACCTGTGACTACCGGTGCTGACCCACTCTCCTCTCATCAACCAGCACACTCCAATTCTTCTGCACACTAATCCCTCCCGTCGCAGTCCTCTGCGCACTATCATCGCTTACCCTCCCCATCTCAATCTCCACATTATGCTTCCCCTGTGTATCCTCCCCAACGAACTTGAACTCCTCCTCATCCTCCAACCGACTCATACCCGCGAGTGTCGAAAACAACCCGCCCGTAGCACCCTTCTTCCTGTGCCTCCCTCCGGAGTTCTTCGAGTCATGCATATACCCATCCAGTCCGCCATTCGAGCTCGGACCCGGACTCTTCATATCGCTCGGCCGCGAAGAAGCAAAAGAGAACAATTTATCGAGGCCGATCCAACGGAAAGCCGGTTTCAAGCTAGGCAAACAAGCACACGTGAGACCGATGTTGATCTCAACAATTGACCACACGATGATCTCGCGGAAGTTGTAGGTTACGTCGCCCTGGGCCGAGATGGGGATTTGCAGGAAGATGATCAGGCGCACGAGCGAGACGACGGCGATGAAGGTGCCGAGCGCGAACATGCCGGCTAGCACGATGCGTTGGGCGAGGGGCGCGTGTAGACGCCAGACGTGCGGGATGGGCATGATGACGATGAAGAAGTCGAGGATTACGTTGGGGACGGAGCCGCCGAGGTAGATGTCGCGCGTTTCGATGCAGGTCTTTTGCGTGATGGTTATGTCCCAGGCAGCGCGTACGGGCAGGCAGTTGAAGATTACGCAGAGCATCTGTGAGGCGATGCTGTTAGCCTATTGCGCTGATGGTGACAGTGTTAGTGGAATGAGTGGCTTACAATAGCGATGCACCATGCGATGGAGGCGGCGGTGACCACATAGATGGTAATGCGGGACTTGATCTCGAAGAGCCGCCAGTAGAAAGCCAAGACTGATAGTTTGATACTCGTGATGCTGAGCGTATACAGAATCTGGCCGATGTAGATATTCCGTAGGAAAGCAACGATTTGTAGCGGGTTCGTGATCTCATTGATGTGTAGCCCCAGTGACTCTCGCATGCCTGCAAGCACTGAGTGTTAGCCTACGATTCGTGTCCAAGGACGAAATAAAGTACCTATTATGCACACGTAGAAGAAACCGTTGGCCACAGCCAGTGCTACCATGGACATGTAGTCGTCCATCTGAACATTGCGCCATCCCCCGTGCCGTTTCCGGCAATAGACCTTGAGGGGGACGAGCAGCATGATCAAAATATAAGTCGATATCGCCACTCCATCGAGACGACGGCGGTAGGATTGGCTGGGGAGAATGTCAGCTGCATGTTACCCAAGACACTGTTTTCTGGTCGTGATAAGACATGGGTTGGGTGAACCGCGGAGGACCACGGAGACTGGGTATGGAAAGGGTAGAGAGCAAAGAGATGGCGAGTAGACACTCCCGAACAACTTACACGCTCTCCTGTGGATCGATGATAGGCGCCATGATGCACAATTCATATACACACTGTCTTTCCTATCCTCGACGGCGTATACACCAGGTATATCACAAACAGCGAGAAACAAGAGGTCGCAGTGGCGTTGACGGTGATGCACGAAACTCTCACATGGAAAACGCGAGACACGCACCCATGATATATCAGAAAGAAGAACACGGCACAAGACACGCGATGCCCAGAAGGAAAGAAAAACCTTTCCTGACATCCCATGCAGACGCCCTGACCAGAACTCCCCAGATGTTCCCAATCCACCTACCGCTACCGCCGCTCCCGGTCGCGGGACCCCCTTTAGGTCTGTAAATCACCACCCTTCAAACCCATGACGGTTTACTTGCTTGTTTAGCTGTGCATCAGCCAATGGTCATCGCAGCATCCGGCAGAGAGAAGTAATAATCCGACATGCTGGAGCTGTTGGGCAAAGCATAAAGTCAAGAAGCGAGGCACTGACACACGGGGAGCATCTGGGAAGTGGATCGTCAGTTACAGGTTAGGGGGTCCTGGTCGGCCTGAAGGGTCCCTCGTCTTCACATGTGAGTGGGTGGGGGATGATCCGGCACTCGCTCCCAACGGAGACGGCGTCGTGCTACGCGGGAACGAAATGGGAAGTCACTCCACTTCAATTATGCAAGACTTCAATCTACGCCTGCATCGCACACCCTCTCGTTCAGCAAGCGCGTCGCGGCTTGAGACAAATGATCAGTATGAGAGGGGTAGATTTTTGCATCTTGCGAAAAAAGAAATAAGAACGTATTTGTTTCTCTGTCGCCGCGGGGTCGAGTCTGCCGTCTGCGTGTGTACCCAAACCGACAATCACTGCGCTCGTCGATCAAAATCCTCCGGGGTAGCCGTGGCAGGATAAACTCCGAGCTGTGCGTTATTCTAAATGGCCGACTCGAGCAGATCATCCCACTTCCTGGTGTTGAGCGCATGTGCCTGGCCGTCGTTTTGGCCGTAAACGGTTTAGCTTGGCCGTCTGTTGCGAGTCAGAAATGAGGCTTCGGCAATGGATTACGAACCAATCGATGGCGGACATAAGCGATGAAGATATCAGACGCCTTGCAGCTCCTCGGATGAACACGCACTGCGTCTGCTTTGTGGCGTTCGTTCCTGTGGATGTCGTGCATTGCCGGAATCCTACCATGACGAATTTGCAGGGCATCTGGTAGGGGCGCAAGCCGCAAACGTGTGTGCAAGCTTTGTGGCGGCGTAGGAACCAAAACGTGCTAAGCTCTCGTTGGAGGGCAATCACCGTTTGCCAATCATACGCCTTGCATGCAACGGCATGGGTCGTGGAAGCGGAAGGACCCTCACACGCTATGCTGTGCCGTGGGAGCGAGAGGGACTCACGCCGTCGTCTTGGTAGTTTTAGTAGTGCAACAACGAGTCGAGAAGCCGTATAGACCCTGTCGAGGCCCATCAAGTTATTGTCTCAAACCTGACCAGGGTAAATGCAGTGAAAGTCCCATGGGGCTTAGCGAGAGACCCACCTATTCGCGGGCGTCCGGCACATGCGCAATCTTCCACGTGGATGCGAGGAACGCGATATGCGGGCTTATTACAACCAGTAAAACAAAAAGTTAGTGATGTATCGTGATAGTGGCGTCGCTCAGTAAGCATCAGTAGCTGTTTGATAGTCAAAGTATGTGTTATGGATAGCTGGTGCGGGAGGTGCGGCTCGCCATCGGTCCTTTCTTAGCCCAGCCGAGAAGCAAAACTCCACATTTCAGAGTCGTTTCTGACAGGTGCCCCGGCTGCTAGTTAGCGACCTAAGGTCTTAGGAGACCAATCAACGGGCACTAATTTGGGAGCCGTGAGGGTTCAGATGCCGCGGAGCACGTCAGGTTCAACCATGTGCGATTTGCAAAGTCGGCGAGCATATGGAAAGGCGTAAAAGAGGCCCCACGCTCTGCATTTCGCTTTCGGATTCCTGTCAAACTTTCCTTCTTCTCTGAATAAGCCAGGTGCATGATGGCAATTACAGATATCCAAGGCAATTGGTCATACCCAGGGCTTCTCGTGTTGTCAGCTCTGTTAGTATCGACCTACGTAATCGTTACTGGAATCTATCGCCTCTACTTCCATCCACTCGCGGCGTTCCCGGGGCCGTTCTGGGCCCGCTTGACTGTGTTCCCGTCATGGTGGCATACTCGTACTGGCGACCGACACGTTTGGCTGTATAGTCTGCAGGAGAAGTATGGTATGGTGGCCTGATTTCATCCCCAGAGTCAGTAAGTTGTTAACGATTGGTAGGACCCGAGTTCCGGTATCGTCCAGACAGTGTCGTGCTCAACACGCCTGCTGCTTTCAAGAAGATCTTTGGACCAAAGGGCAATGTTAAAAAAGGCCTCTACTACGAAGTGTGGCCACGCAATGTCCACACTATCAACACATGGAGCACGACCAGTGTTGAGGTGCACTCGCGCAAGCGTCGTGTGCTGAACTACGCTTTCTCAGAGGCAGCGCTGCGAGATGCTGAGGTCTTCCTTCACGCGAACATCGATCGTTGGCTGGAGCTGATTGGTCAACAAGCGCCAAAGTCTGGCGAGTGGACGACCTCCATCAACATGTGTGACTGGATGAACTGGCTCGTTTTCGACATCCTTGGTGACTTGTGCTTCGGTAAGAACTTTGACATGAAGGAGCCTGGAAGCGATCTCCGCCACATCCCCGAAGTCATGGTTCAATTCATGGAAATTCTTCATCCAGTTAGTCCCCTGCATCAGATCATTGATCGACCATGCTGACATTCCAAAGATTGCATTCGGCCCGTTAGCCAACGCTTGGGTATGGATGAAGCCTCGTGGGCTCGACAAGCTTCTGGAGGTCGCCTCACCGCCAGTAGTCAAGAAGTGGCAGGACTTCGTTGAAGGATGCCTTGAGAAACGGTCCGCGGTCGAACACGAATTGGAGAAGAGTCCCAAGCCTGAGGGTGAGGTCCGGAAAGACTTCTTTCACTGGCTCTTCAAGGCTGTCGACCCCGAAACTGGCAAGCGTGGCTATAGCGAGCACGAACTCTTCGCTGAGTGCGAGCTGCTGACTATTGCTGGTTCCGATACGACATCCGTCGTAATGTCTGCCGCCTTCTTCTACCTGGCTCGTCGACCGGAGGTACAGGCTAAGATTGCTGAAGAGGTCAAGTCGGTCTTCTCAAGCTATGACGAGATCAAGTCTGGTACCAAGATCATGTCCTGCAAATACCTCACCGCGTTTCTTCAAGAAGCTATGCGCATGACACCACCAGTCGCAGCAGAGCCCAGCCGTGAGGTACTCCCTGGCGGAACAACAGTCGGCGATCACTACTTCCCCGCTGGCCTCCACGTCAGCACCGGTCTTTACTGTCTCAGCTACAACGAGAATGTCTTCCCGGAGCCCTTCAAGTTCCGCCCTGAGCGCTGGATCGTAGACGAGACTGGAAAGGAAGGATCTTCGGCTGAGAGTGTGGCATTGGCGGAGAACGGTTTCTGTGCCTTCTCATATGGAACCAGGGGCTGCGTTGGAAAGAACCTTGCCTGGCTGGAGATGCGACTTGTCATTGCCAAGACACTCTGGATGTACGAGGTTCGGCCTGATCCAGAGAACAGACTTGGTGGAGGCAACCGAAACGGGAAGCCTGGGCGACAGACGGAGGATCAATACCAGATTTACGACATCTTCGTGGCCGGCAGGAAGGGACCGATGCTGCAGATGCGCAAGAGGTAATGTGGAGTGAGATGAGCCATTTGTGCAGACGACCGAAGTAAAGCCTGCAACGTACGATAGTCATCTTGGCTAGCCAATTGAGCATATTCTGATCCCTTTGAGAACGTCGTCCGTGTACAACACCACGTGTCGCCAGATGCGTGCGCGTGTCTGTGGTGCAAACGGTGGTGCGACCATTCAGTCCCTGACGATCCTCAAAGAACTAACAGCCGTTGTACATGTATTGCGTACAGTCGGGAGTGTCGTCGCGCAGCCTCGCCAGGTGATCTGGTGTTGTTGTCGCCTCAGAGGGTTTGCTGTTACCGTCAGCGCATGCCCAGAAGGACGTCCACGTGACGTCCCTAGCGGGGCCGATCAGAGGAGCTTCCTCAAGCTCCGAGTCCGGTCCATCTTTCTGCAACTCCTCAACACCGACATCGTCGAATCTGTATTTCGTCGTGCGACCGTCGTTGTGCCCAACACGATATGACGATGTTTTTGGCCCCCATCGCAAGCCACCGGCATGCCTCAGACGGCAATGCCAGGCGAGACTCGAACGCCATTCGACCGCAGCGGCACAGCGCCGTATTTTTAGCTCAGCTGGCCCCCAAATCCTGACCGGTCGATTGTTGTGATGGCATTGCTGCAGCTTGTAAAGCAATGCATTCTCTATCGTTACGCTCAACATTCTGAGCTCCTTCGTCGCTACTGACGCCTTTGCGCAACGCCGTCTTTCTGGCACCGAATATCAGGCTATCAGCCTTCAATCTGGAGTTACGCGGGTTGATCAGCACAGGGCTGAGCGGCTCGTCAAGCCCCGCGACGCCAGCGCAAATCAAAGGCACGGCGAGCTTGATTCCACGACAGCCGTTCGCTTCGCCTGGACTGCACATGGTGTGCCGCACTAGAGCAGCCTTTCCTGCCTGAGTAGGGCGAAAGCATCCGTGGGCGCATATTGGTGTGATGGAACCAGGCTGACCGGTGCAACGCATAGGCTGCAAGGTACCGTCAGCCTCGTGCAACATCTTGTGCGATTTGGTGATTTCCCGCCTTTTTTCGTGGCTTCTCTCTTTCCTTTAACCTCGTTCGCTTTCGTCCTACGGTCGCTACACATTGCAAACATCATTGTACAGTACAAGAACGTGAGCGCACGCCGCGCATACACGAAACGAAATGCGGTCACCATCCGTAGAAGGAGTACCATGGCCCCTCCAGGTTGGCTCCCCGAACAGTAGGAGAACCTCCGATATCACAGTTCCTTCTGCTTTGCGCGTTGGCTCTCCAACAACTGGCGATACCCCACCCATCCACGCTCGGCCACCATTGCGTCGCAAGAACACGTCTGGCGCCTCCGACAGGCTCTCGCAACTCTTTCCGTCCCGACCGTCCTCAGTCGCCTCAATCGCATCTCCTAGCAGCACCTATGCATCAAGACGTCAGTCGTTTCCTTCGCCTCTGCTACCGGCCGCAGAACCCTCGTATCGCATACCCCGCGCTCCAGCGCCGCCCTCGTTTGCCCAAGAAACGTCATACAACCCTGTCGCGAGCGTGTTTACTCAAGATCGCGCATCACCGTCGTTGGGCAAGAGCAACAGTAGGACCAAACGGGTCCTCGACCGAATCGCATCGTTGCACAGGGGAGCCTCTCATGGGGGACGTTACAACCGACTGGATGATGAGGAATCACAACCCGGCAGAAGACGCCTTGTAGGAGTCGACGAGGGGGACGAGGCAGTCGGATATGATCTGAGCTCGCTAGGCGGTCTGCCGTTGAAAACATTCGAGGCGCAATCGCGGACGCAGGACATACACGAAGGGCAAGAGCGTGACAGAGACATGGATGAAGCTAGCCACGCCGCAGAATTTGAGCGTCTCGAGGCGCAACTCGGAGCTGGCATGACTTCTGTACTCCATGTTCCGTTTGAGCACACCCCAGCTGGACCAGTACCAGGCTTCTTTCCCGGCCACCGACGAATTCTGACAAGAGCGGATGTAGTAGACGAGCAGGCCAAAAAAGCCCAAGACGAGGCTGAGACTACCGGCAAAGTCGTTGCTGTTGCAGCAGATGTTCCAGTCGATATCAGCGAATTCACAGGAGTTGCTCGCGACTTCGATTCTATGAGAAATCTGACCGCCGAGGCTGGCCTCATCAGCAGTGGTGCACAGACTAGCTACTTCTTTCCTGACGGCAAGTTTTCCCTACATGTGTGTGTCGAGAGATAGGATCTAACACGCATGCAGATCCCCAGATGCCTGCATGGCGACCCCTTACTATGAGCTCGTGGTGGATCCTTATGCTCACAATTCTTGCACTTGTACTCGCTGGCGTTCAAGAATACTTGTGCCAAATTTCCTTACGCGATGTCGAAGCAGATCCTCAGAAAGGCGGGTTGTGGCATTTCGTGAAAGTTGGCGACTTGACTGTCACGCAATATTTCACCTGGCAGTACGCGCCCATCATCATCTCGGTCTTTTACGGCGTCCTCTGGCAAATGTCGGATTTTGAAGTGAAACGTCTGGAGCCATTCTACCAGCTATCCAAGAAGACAGGCGCAACTGCGGGAGAATCGCTTAACATGGACTATCTCACCTTCTTGAGTTTCTTGGTACCGCTAAGAGCACTGCGTCACAGACAGTACGCCGTCATTTACAGCTCGCTGGGTACGTTGGTCGCTAGTAGCCTTGTACCTGTCTTGCAGAGTGCTTCTATGACTATGTGGCCACCCGAGAAAGAACGTAAGCTTCACGGCTATAAGGCCGTGAGAGTCGAACCGGCCTGGTCCCGAGCGCTCTCGGCGTGCCTTTTGATAGTTGCAGCCTGTGGAGGAGCGCTGATGTACGCAATGCAGAGGAAGAGCGGCCTGCAGTCGGACCCCAAGGGTATTGCAGGTATCGCAGCTATGGCTACGAGAAGCCATATTCTGACGGACTTCAAAGGGCTCGACCAGGCTTCTTTGCCTCAGATACACAAGCAGCTTCGCCAACGAAGATACATCTTGCACAAAAGCTCACTCTGGCAAGGAGAATACATAACGAAGAGCAAGGAAAAGATTCCCGAGCACGGCTCCGATCCCAGGCCGCTCATGCTTCGTCTTTGGGCGGGTGTGCCTTTCATCGGCTTTCTCATCCTGTTCACCGTTGCGGTGCCAGTCTTCACATTCGTCAAGGCGTTGAGTAGAGCCACACAGAAGGTACCCTGGATGATGACGGGCCTAGCAACTATCATCCGCATACTCTGGAACACCATGAACAGCGACGTTCGCATGCTTCAACCTTTCTATATCCTTTCTCTGCGACACGCCCCAGCCAAGACTCTTACACTCGACTATGCTGGTACGAATCCTCTTTGGCTGCCCTTCGAAGCTTTCTTCAATGGGCATTACCTTGTCATGCTCGTTGCCTTCGGATCCATCTTTGCTGAGATCCTAACGGTCTGCGTAACCTCAATCAGCGTCGATGGCAACAAATTTATGCCCGGATTCGGCGGCCAAAAGTCTGACGACGACCATGACGGCAGCAACGACGATGCGTCTGATCGTTATAACACGGAGCAAACCTTTCGCAGTTTCTGGTCGAGCTTAACGCTCACCATGCTCATTCTGATTTATCTCATCGGTATCGCTCTTCTCACCTACGCGAGGCGCAGTCAGAAGTTCATGCCCAGAGAAATCGGCACCATGGCCTCCGTCCTCGCTTTCATCCACCAGTCTAAGATGCTCTTCAGCTTTATCGACACGGAAAAGCTGAACTCAAGGGAGATGACCAAGCATCTCGAGAAGAGTGGGAAGACATACGCGTTGGGCTGGTTCCAAGGCAGAGACGGCGAAGATCACTTGGGCATCGACGAAGAAGAGATCAGCAGCGCGTACGTCTTTGGCAAGGATTGGACTGAGGGGCGGCTGAGACCAGGTAGAGATCTGACGTGGGAGGTTTATTAGACGCGTCGTCACACGATATAATGCATCTCCATTTCCATCGACATCAAGAACGCGCATGCAATTACTGACGTTGACTCCCTGCCCCGTATTCACAACCCTAGCGCCGAGACGCCATTATGCTGGTATAATAATCCGTTCTGACGCGTATGTGCCGCGTCATATGTCCCCGCTACCGTGTCATCCTCATCCCCATCGCACGTATATCCTCATATCCCCTCCGTCCCCTCCTAACTCTGCTCCCCAACATTCCCCACCAGCCAATCCATACCCTCCTGGACACCCCGTCCATCCACCGCACTACAAGCCACAATACTCCAATTCCGGTCTTTGAGTTCCCCCAACTTGAGCGCCTCGCTGATCTCGCCCGCGCCCTTGGCGCCCGGTTGATCTTGTTTGTTCGCGAAGACGAGGAGGGCGGCGTCGCGCAGCTCTTCTTCGTTGAGCATGGCGCGGAGTTCTTCTGATGCGGTGGTGAGGCGCTCGATGTCTGTGCTGTCGATGACGAAGATTACGGCGGCGGTGTTGGCGTAGTAGCAGCGCCAGTAGGGGCGGATGGAGGTTTGGCCGCCGAGGTCCTGGGGGGTGGGGTGTTAGATGGTGGTTGTGGGTGATTGGGAGGGAGGTGAACTTACCCAGACGTTGAAATTGAGGTTCTTGTATGTGACGGATTCGACGTTGAAGCCTATTGTCGGTATCGTTGTGACTACCTCGCCAATCTAGAGGGGTTGTTAGCCTCCGTATACCTCGTGTCCAGACCCAGGATGCATATTGTTTCCATATTCGCATGCCTCCTTTCTTTCCTCTTTGGATATCGCATACCTTCAGTCTGTATAGTAATGTCGTCTTTCCAGCGTTATCCTGCATTTGTAATCAGCGCCATGCCTCCCATGCTGGCCATGCTGAGGTGTTCATACCAGCCCCAGAATCAATATCCGTATCTCCTTCTTCGCCCATATCAGCTTTGTAAATGTCGATAAGTAGCCGCCCATGTTGTTCTCCCTGTGTATCGTCCGCCCGCTCGTGAGGTCCGTTTGTATGCGGCGTTGACCGCTGGTCTGGTGGTTTCGGCGAAAGGGACGGTTTCGAGGATGTCGGCGATATGGCGGTTTCGTGAAAGAGGTTTAATTGTTATGCGATTAGCTTGGTGAGAGTTGGGCGTATGTTGTCGTATGCGTTGGAGTGTTTCAGTGTTGCTGTCTGGCCATAAAGTTAGGCCGTCGCGTGCAAACAGGACAAACAGACCGAGGTCGTCGGCGGCAACTTTTGCCGATGTTCAGGCGGACCACGGGTAGAATTGATCTAGCCACGTCCCAGTTGTCTAGCGTTACACTACAACCCCATCATCCACACCATGCCTTACGATCGCGATGTAGTCGTCAGTTGCATCGAGAGGCACTATGATTTGCTCGTGCGCATGGCCTACCTCGACCCGGACACGATCCTCCGCCCGCCGCCTGAAGGTTGGAGTGATGAGCAGCTCGCTGTTGACACATTACAAGAGTGGAAACGGTCGGACCGAGTCATTGATCTCTTGCGTCACTTGCCTTATCTGAGCAAGAATACGGGTGACTCTAAATACGAGGTCTATATTGTAACGGAAGCATGCAATTACCTTCGCAATTATGGCTGGCTGAAAGATGCGCACAAAGAGAAGGCTATCAGGCGTATGTCGCCATGCGGAGAGGGGCAGGAAATCCCTGCTGGAATGATACCGTTGAGCCAGGGCAACGAAGCGACAGTGTGGATGATAGATACGGACCAAGGTATGAGCCGCATACAACGTGCATCACCGGATATTGACAGATTTCACTAGGCATAATCTGGCCCATGGGACCGTTCATTGTAGACCGTAGTGCACCAGATGACCAGTTTTGGCGGCAGGCCGCAAAGCCTCGGGAGGTTCAGCAGTACCTCGATGAGCTCTACGACGAGATCGAAACCTTGGTCACCGTTCCTGTACCATTGACGCGAGGTAGCGATGCATGGTACAACGAGATGGTGGATCATCGAGACAACAATGCAAAGGTGAGTGCGATATTCTCGGCGAACGTGACCGGAAGACTCATCAAGCAAATGAACAGCTACCCAAGCGCTTGCTGAAAGAGTATGGTTGGCCCTCAGCTTTCAGAAAGGCAGAGTATCTCAAAGTTCTCGAACAAGAACGTCTCGACGCTAAACGCAAAGAAGCGGAACGGAAAGAAGAAGCCGCGAGGAAACATGCACAAAGGCGTTTTATAGCAGTTGACAAGACGTATGATTTGCGTTCCAAGGGTGGAAGCGCTGACAGCACAGCAAAGTGACAAGTCTCACGATAGATCACTACGCATTCTCCTATCTTCTTATCTGGGTCGGTCACACGCATTACCACCACTTCCAAACGTTCGAAACGAACAGACAGCCTCATGTACGAAGAGCAAAACTTGCCGACGCTCGGGCGTACCACGGTTGGCAGACAGCAGCTTTCCGACATCGCGGAACTTACACAACGTTTGGCGGCATGCGACCCATATATTAAATTCTAAGCGAAATGCTTCAGATGTCAAAAGACGATAGTCGGAAAATAGTCGGAAACACGATACGTCAAAGAATATCTCCAGTGGCTTAGCGACGATTGACAGCATTCGATGCGGCCACCCATGTTCGCTGCATTAGACTGCTACATGGAGGTCAAAAAAGACTTTGACTTTGGAAGCCTGAATGCATTCTCCAGATGAATGTTTGCCGACAAAAGAGAAAAGCTGGTTAAGCGGGATCGAAAAATCATTGTCGGCACCCAACCAGCATTGCGATCCTCTGACCTCGCAATAGAATTGGCCAACACCGATATCAGCGTACTCCTACCGGACTGTGGAGATTATTAATAGCAAGAGAACAGGCTGCAGGGTAGGACTCGTGATCGCAATCTCAGTTCGCTAAGCTCGAGCGGGTGATCTGTTCGCGTACGGAGGTAATGACCGAGAGCACATTTGCGCTGAACATCAATATTGGCAGCATTTCTATAGGCTACCTATCCGAAAGACTCAGTGCGATACACGAAGACTACATCCCTTTGGAAACCATGGTCTCGCATGGTGAACCGTGTGTCGGCCTTGGCAAAATAGACTAGTCTACTGCCACACTGTAGTCATTGTCCGGTAGCAGGAGCCTGAACCAGATAACGATCCTCACCTTGAGTCAATGCTACGCATTGTGAGTCACTGCGTGTCTGGCACTGATGTGTTTTGCTCGCTTAAAGTGCCACTTGAATATGTTGGATTATTCTTTGGTCTTGCGACTGGCTGTACAAGAGGAATAAGGATACTTACTACTGGTAGAGGTACAAGGTCATATGGTCAGGGTGATTCTATCTGCTCATGTTTTGGATGCGCAAACACGGGACGCACGCGATACCATTTCTCTTCTACAATGTTCTTTAGATAGTATATAAACTCACATCTCCTGCCTCCTCCATCCTTCCATTCGAACACATCCACACATGTCCCAAAGCCCAAAGACATACTACTCCAAACTCTTCTTGCAACACACAACCACATTCACAACAAAAGCAAGCACACCCCAAAACCACAACATGTCTTGCCAACGCCTATCAACCGTCCACGGACTCGCACCCGAAAAGCTCATCAAACTCGCTTTCAAGTTCCTCCCTTACCGCACTCTCCAAGCCGTCTTCGCGACGCTTCACCCCGCTCAACATCGCATCTTGATGCAACAACGGCGCCGCGGCGTGAGTCTGCACCATCTAGCAGACACACTATACTACCACCAAGGCGCCACATTGTCGCGCCTGTCGCGCTGGAACGAAATGACGAAGCTGCAAATGCAGCATGAACTCCTCAAACGAGAACACCTCGACGAGGGAGAGGAAAAGAGCTTGAGTGAATGGAAACTGAGGATCAGATTGGTGTGCGTCATGGCTGAGGAGAGGAAGTCGTGGAAGGAGGGGAAGGAGCAGAGGAGGGTGGGGGAGGAGGAAGACAGGAGGGCATGGATCGCCCAGTGTAGGGCGTATGAGGAGGAGGATGAAGGTGAACTAATGGATATCGCTGTCGCCGCTTCGCAGGAGGGAGGTCAAGTGGTATGCTGAGATGGTGAAAGGTCAGGGGCTTGAAGGTGAACCGCTTGTTCTCAAGTTCGTGCGGGTCATCACAGAAAGCCCATTGGTGTTGGTATAGTCGTTCCACAGTTTCGCCAACGAAGTCGTCTTCACTCGACCAATGTTACTACCAGACCTCTTACAATGCCGTTGATGACCATAGTATTGCCCACGCTGTGAAAATGATTTGCCCACTTTCCCTTCTCCCGTGCTCTGCCGCACTCTCCGAACGTGGTACATTCACTTTCACTTCCAGAGACTTGGTATCACATCACCCGCACCCACTAACCTGAGTGAGACTTCTCCCAAATGAATGCAGGCTCTTCCTTCTTCGCCGCCCACTTGCCTTCCCTTTTCAACTGACCGCTTCTGAACCTCTTGGATTACTTTCAACAATCCAGTCGCCGTAACAACAAATACTCCTCCTTCTCAGCTAACCTTTCACACTAGCAAGATGTTTACATCGCTCATCGCAGAGATTAACGGCGTGGAACCCTCCGTTATTAAGAATACAACCCAGGTCAGGTCAGCGACTGCGCGAAAGCGTACCGTCGCGGAGACTACATCAACTTCGGCGCCATCACTTCGACAGCGCGCAGTCCCTCGTCACCCGCAACAGCGTCAAGCCATCGATCGGTACAGGGCTGTTGCGTACAACCCATGGAGGGAGCCAAAGCGTCTAGCAAAATCCTCATACGAGGTAATGAAGCAACAAGAGCTTCTCGAGGAAGCGCAGATTCGAGGGCTTGAGATCGACAACGGGGATAAGACACACCTCGTAAAAATATTGATCGTCGACGACGAGGCCTACGCCAAGCTAATGGAGGTACTTGGTTGCCGCTTCAGAGCCGCCGACTTTGCACAGGGCGAAGTAAAGCTTTACAACCAGGAACTGAAGCGTAAGCGAGCTGAAGCGGAGGCGAAGCAGCAACAAGCGACCCGTGAGATGCATAAGAAGGCAAAACGAGATGCGCACGTCAAAGCCGAGAAGTTGGTATGGGAGAAAAAGCAGGCTGAGAACAAGGCTGCTAAAGCCAAAGAGCAAGAGCAGCGGAAGCGAAAGAGAAGCGACAACATCGATTCTGGTTGCTCTTCTGCCCCTAAGAAAACCAAGTCCAAGCATGCACCGGCGGTTCCTTTGCGCTCAAGAAAGACTGGCGACAGAAAGTTCGTCAAGATGAGTGTTGCCAACGACACGAAGGATGCGCACGACGATGAAGAGGATGAAGATGGACTTGGCGACTTCATTGTTGACGACCTGCCGCAGAAGCCGAAGCGCAAGAGCGATGTAGGCGGCATGGCAAGGAGCAGGTTGATCGCTGGGTTTTGATGGATGGCATATCTTCATTTTTCTTGCTTTCGTTGTTGTTCTCCTTCTAGTATCAGACTACAGTGTATCGTAGTTCCTTATGTATAGCATTGTTGCGGGGAAACCTTCATGTTGTAGTACTATTGCGCCGTCGGAGTATCCGTTAGCGCAGGATTGAGTCGGCCCCAGCGCTTACGGGCACTGCTCTCCGCCAGCGTAGCGCAATTGATTGCAAATTGTTAACTTCATTGCGACATGGATTTACTGCCACACAATGTTCGTTTAGGCGGGTAAGGCATGCCGAGCTCTGTCGATCGCGTCCGTATTAACCACACTCTTGGCTAGTGCGTCATTCCCATAGGGTGCCTAACCGCGCCACGTATATATAGATGCATTCTCGCAAGTCCAAACGATCAAACGTCTACGGCTTTACCCTTATGCTACGTCAATATGTGGACATATGACAATCCAAAGTTGCTGCTCCTTACGATATCAGGACTCCTCACCACAGCGGTCGTCCATGCGCAAAACTCCTCCTGTCGAGGCTTTTTCGACGAATTCACGGCCGTGAACTCAACCGGCCAGCACGAATTTACTTGGAACTCCTCCTACGCCGGCGATGACCCGTGGTATGTCTCTGTCCTCGTCGGATCTCGCTATGACGATCTCAGAGGACATGTTTACATCTCCGTACCTGGAAACGTGCCCAACAATACCGAGCTCTGCAAGTATCAGTGGAGCAACATTAATGCGACGTTAGAAGCCGGAGGGGAGAATAGCTGTAGCGGTGTGATCAGCTCCGACTGCATGGACCACCTGAACAAGGCACTTAGTGATACCTCTGGTACCTCGAATTACTGTCCTAGTAAAGATACTTCGTCCGTATCAGATGAGTTCAAGAAGGCGTGCCCAATGTTGAGTGGCGGCTCACACAGTACGTTCCTTCCCTTGCCCCTGTACAAACCTTCTATATGCACTTTGTTTTTCCTTCCCCTGCACAGAACAGATACGATTGACTTGCGGCTCGGAAGCTGCAGCCTTTGTACATATAGCTGACAAGGTCGCACAGACACGGTCCGTCAAGACGTGACCAACGGCACGTGCGCCTACAACAACATACCCGAGGAGGTGCAAATTCCAGACAATTACAACACGTTCGGGACAAACGCAGGCGTCAGCCCGTCCGATAACTTCTATGCCGCTGCGAATGAGACGTATGATCTCTTAACGCGCCAGACGATTCCAGTCGTCCTACTGGGACGATTTGTTGACCCGGATTCGAATCTGGTGCAGACCAGCGTCGAGTTCGTGTGTATGAATGCGAACAACACAGTGGAGGGAAGCCGTGTACCAGAGGAACAGACGCCGTGGGATAGTGCTGGGGCTGATATCAGTGCTAGGATGGTGGGATGGGCGGCCGGTGTGATGACGGCGGTGATGCTGGTGTTGTAAGACTGCGGTACATCGTGATGGTCTTTTATGGATGTAATCGATGGTGGTAAAGCAGAGGGGCCATCTGCGTAGCCCGAATGATACGTGTATTGACTATCGGGGATGGAAGCAGGTGTAGGCTCACGGCTGGGAGTTGAAGGTGGGAGGGGATGGCACGCAGCTGGTGGCTCCGTTCCGAGATCGGCAAAACTCCGGCGCTAATTCCTGAGACGCGTGCATCGCGTCACCTTAATTCGATTGAACGTACTACTCCTTCGCATCTCTTCCTCTATAACATACAATCTTTATTCGCCTCGCATTTATCGCGACTTTAACGCGCACGAACGATGTTGCATTTGAGCGATGATCGCGCCCATTACGCGTTCGCGCAGCGCGTTCTTACCCAGCCTCACCATGTGGAATTTATCGGTACCGCTTTCAACGTGTGGCAAGTTGCTGCGCTACCGCTGTTTCGCACGGTGTGCTCTTCTTTGCGAGCTGTGCGGGTTTGTTAGACCTGTTGACATTCCCTGGTAGCGAGAGGAAGCCACCCGCACCGTACGCTGATAACACAGTCACGACGTGCTGAAATTTCCTTCCTGGCCTCTGCTTTCTCATTTCCGTACTGACCTGCTCTCGACACGTCGTCCGAAAAACCACAGAAGTCGAAAGCATAGCTCATCACCTACACATGACCACCGTCAAGATGGCGCCAACGCCTACCGCTACTCAACAAGCCCTGGGCATCGCGGAACTTCTCGAGAATATCTTGCAACGTCTCAGTCCGACAGATGCTTTGTCGAACAAACAGATAGTGTCTCGTACCTTCTATAACTGCATCAACAGATCGTCCATTCTCAGACAGATGTTCTTTCTTGACGCCAACCGAGTCGAAGAAGATGAAGCCGATAGCAAGCTCTACTTCCCCTTAAGCAATATCTTTCCCGCGTATGGATCTCATGAAGGGCGCGGAGGAGTCGTTATTCCTGGATACAAATACCGACCTTTTATCTTTCTGAATCTCGCAGCCATCAGATGTTTTGTGCCTGCAGACTCTTACTACATAGATCAAGCTGCGGTTAGCAGAGCTTTCATTCCATCAGGCAAAGATCGGCTCCCAAGGTTAAAACACGGAAGTCGAAGTTGGGACTGGGAAGCGCCTATTACCCAAGTTCGTCCATCAGCCATACACCCATTCATCGCCAGCAACCTTTGGATTTCAAATGGTTTCTTTTGGACTGGCTTTGGCTCCCATGCAATAGTCTTCATGGAGGACCCCTTACCCATTTCGAAATTGGGCCTCTCCTCTACCAAAATCTCGCGAGCAATTGAGGAGATATTGTTCCAGGTACAGAGAAGCCCTACCGCTAGTTGGATCAAATCTACGCTCTCGAATCCCGCTGTCACCACCGTCAGCTTGGTTATGCACCGGGAGATCTCAAACCGCTCTACCCGGGTACACTTTGTCCATCGCTTCAAAAGCTTCCGTCGCGCTACTGGTGTACTGGTTGAGGATCTTCTGATACTTCTCGCCAGGTACTTCGTCGAGCGGCTCGAATTTGCTGGGAGTTCTAACGCGCTCTACGTCCCCCAACAAGATCTCGCCGCAGCTAACGAGCTCACGAGACTACTGGACCCGGTCGGTTACTTCTACTTGGCCAAGCCTGAGCCAAGTCTGGATTAGTACAAGCAGTCTCACTGTACGCGTGGTTTGTCTCGCGCGCTGTCTTTCACTTTGCTGGCTCGTGCTCAGGCTTGGCAACCCACATAAACGATTGCGTCGCACGGCCAAATGACTTACCTCTCAAAATACAACCTCTACGCGCCTTATTGAACGTTCGCTTTCGACCATCGGTAGGCTCACAACGATCGATATGGACGACATGAACTCTCCTCTACTCGCACACGGCGATCCCGCCCGCGTCTTGGGCGTCACCGAGCTCCTCGAGAATGTGCTCTGCAACCTAAGCCCGGGAGACATCCTCAAGAGCGCTCAAGCGGTCTCCAAGTTCTGGCGAGATTGTGTGCAGGGATCAACTGCAGTTAAGAAGAAGTGCTTCTTGGTCGCCAACAACATGAGCGAAGAGGAGACAGACCATCGACTGTTTCTGGGGGCGGGCCTTCCCGACTTGGGCAAACCTCTAGTTGCAGACTGGAGTCGATCGCGACATACTAGGAGTATCAGCCACATGACAGTGGTGACACCGGCTACTCTTCGCGCCTTCTTCGCAGACAACCCAATGTCTCGTCGCGGTCAATACAAACAGGCTATCCAAGATTACTTCGAGAGGCTGGACAACGACGAAGAGTTGATGCGCTTGACGACTAACATGGGCCATGAAGAGCGCATGTACGATGGCAGCGATTACGACTCGCGTCCCTACGAGTCCCTACTCGACATGTCACGTGCGAATCCGCTAATTCGCCAATCGTGGAAAGGAAAAGGCTCAGTTGTCTTCACCGGCTACGGAAAACACCTCATCTTCGCTCTTGGCGACAACTACCCTGAGGCCTGCGACTACTTCACACATATCCGAACATTCCTCGAGACTGTCGTCCATGCTAGGAGCGCCGAACAGTCGAAACAAACCTGGAATACTGTCCAAATTTGTTCACCTTCCGTCACCAAGCTCACTGTTGCTATCTGGTTACCTGGAGGCCCGGACATGGCTCACAGCTTTCTCAATTCGTCCGGTGTCACAATGCTCGACTTCGCACATATGTTCATCATAGCGGTGCGAATAGCTTTACAAAGCTACGATTCGGTTGATGTGGAGCACTGGCTTGGCAACATCCATGGACACAAGCGAGGTGGCGCAACTTGGAAGAGGTTGATGCGCTTATACAAGAAGGAGAGGGACCTCATCGAGAAGTTGGCGGATCAACTGGGGGAAGGCAGATGGTATCCCTGATTGCCATGGTTCTCGTCTGCTAAGTCAGTTCTCCAAAGTCACAATGTCTAGGTCTCAGAGACTTCCTGATACATGGTCTATGTCATTTGGGCAAGACTGGTACGAGCATGCACTTCATCGTAGATAGTCAAGTGTCTAAAAGTATGTATACCTAATAAGACATTTCATGTCGCAACGATCTCCGTGTGCCTGTTGCTGATAGTCACGTGGTACATTCCCGCTTTCCTCGGTTTCGTATCGTGCCTACGTGAATGACAGCCCATGTACAACATCTGGCAAGCTATCAACCCCATGTACACTATGCATCAACCCTACATAGTCGTCCCTGCTGCGTAGGCAACCCTCCCGTCCCTTCAACGAACCAACTCTCGCTGCCCACACCCGTAACCGCATAGAACAACCCCCAAGGATCTCTTTCCTTCTTGATCTTCAGCAACCTATCGTAGTTATCACCATACATACTATACTGGAAATTCGGCTCCGCAACATCCGCCTCGTTCATATAAGCACCGCTGAGCGGCGTCGCATCTCTGAGCTTTTGCACGTACGAGTCGAGGCGAGCATGCGATGACTTCCAGAGCTCGTCAGAGAGGCTAGCATCATATTGCCGACTATCGAAGCCGGTCATGTGCATGACTGCGTTGCGCAGGTGCGGCGAGACCGCAGAGTCGGAGCCGGGATAGCCGGCTGTTTCGTAGGTTGGTGCGTAGTCGACGGAGTGGAAGCTGTAGCCGCCTTCTTCCACGAATGAGCGGATCGCTGCCATTGTGGTATTGAATATCTGGGAGGTTGGGTCTGCGAAGTTGGATCGGGGGACAAGCCGGCTCACAAGACGGCTGTTACTAGTGCCACCGCTTGGGCCGCCGGGCTGGGTACCAAACTTTGCATATGTGCTCCAGAACTTTGGCTCGGGGTTGACTAGTGGGATACCAACATTGTTAAGATCTTTGATGAGCGGCGCCATGAGCTTTCTCATCTCTTCGACGGTGACGCCCGGTTTGGTAATTTGGTTTGATAGGGTGAAGGTACCAGAGGCCTTGGTGATGTAGTTTGACATAATGCCTTTGGCATCATTGATGCGTAGATTGTGCGAGAAATAGACCTTCATACCTTTCCAGAAGGTTTCATTAGATACGCGAACGGTGGTCTTGTCGTTACTGGACACTGGGCCGGTCTGGAATGTAAAGTCACTTCGTGCGACCGTCGTGGGCGGATACGCTTTTACAATCGCAGATGTAACGATGCCAAAGTTTCCTTGGAAACAGGTTAGAATTGGAGATAGTTGCAGAGGTACGTTGGAAGCTTACCAGGCCCGCCACCCCTAATCGCGAAGAACAGGTCCGCGTTCTCCATCGGATCTGCGTGCACAAACCTGCCGTCCGCGGTAACAAGTTCTAGAGCAAGTACCTGGTCTGCCATCAGGCCATACTTTGAAGTGATGTACGAAAATCCTCCGCCTTGCATGTAACCGCCATAAGCTCCAACAGTAGAAGACCCGGGTGCTAAAAGAGTGATACCATGTGTACTCATGGCGTCATACACTTCATGTTGTTCGAGCGCTGCTCCAACTCGGGCCGCTTGACCACTGTACTGACCAACTTCGTACGTCGGTAAGTACTCGAATGCTTTCATGCGATGCACCCAGACTTGAAGTGCGCCACCGCCGGTGTTCCGACCGAGGAAGTCATGGCCGGTATTTCTACTATGGTCAGTTTGGGGCTGGTATCTTCATTGAGGACGTACTTGATCGTCAACCGGATATTGTTATTCCTGGCAAAGTTGACTGCGAGCTGCACGTCTTTGACTGTAGTAGCGTTGACGACGAATGCAGGAAAGCTGACGAGTTTGCAGCCAGACAGCGGAGGCGTGGCGCTAGCTGCAGGTACGGGGCATGGATTATGTAAGGTCCACTGCCCAAACGGTACCAGTGGGTCTTCCTTGCTATATGAAACAAGTTAGCTTTCGACCGCGGGTAAGGTTTGCAAGTACATACGCGAAGAGAGCATCGCTTTGACGTCGCCTGACGTTTGAACACTTTGCAGTATCCTTGTACTCGCCCTCATAGCAGGCAGCAGCGGGTGGAATACCCTTAAGCAATGTGCCTCCAAGACTGATGTTCAAGGCACTCCACTGCGTCGATGATGGCCAGCCGTCGTAGCCTGGATAGCTCTTGCAAGAAGGCATGTTGCCCGTGTTTGCTTTACCGAAAGCCAAGTCAGGGTTGGTCCCCACATCCGAGTCCGTCAGCTGTATACCCTCATATGGGAAGTTGTACGCATAGGCAGCTTGCGCCGCAAGAAGGCTTGGAAGAAGCGAGAATCCGAAGACCATTCTGGAAAGCGCGAACAAGGAATTGAGATTAATGATGTCTAAAGGCTTCGATGACGAAGTTTGCTCTCTTGGAGGCTATCATGCCGGTACCTTATACAAGCTTCTGGTAACAACACTGGCGACACCCCTCTTCTCTACTGCCCATGATATGCCCCACATACATCCAGGCTGGTAGTAGCCTGAGGTTTGGGGTGGTGCAAAGACTGTATCCCCATCTCTTGACTCGTACTGCCTCATACGATGCGGCCCAGTTCTCGTCTTGGCCATCCGATACGGGCCGGTCCAGATGTATCGCCATATCGGGCGCGCAGTCAACATGCAGCCATGTAGCTTTACCCGGTCTGATTTCGCTGTGCATCTCGTGTGATCAATACGTCGCGCATATCGTGAAGGTTGTGAGGCTTTTGTGGCGTCCGTAATCATACAGTGGTTCCGACATTATGGTAAACGGTCGATGCTGAGGGCTGCGAGACTGCATATTGAGTCTTCCTGTTGGTCGTAACAAGCGAATCGGGATGAGCTAAACCTGCGATAAGAGCCGTTGAACATGAAAGCTGACTTCGGGGTCTCCCCACACTGGGCTTACAGTATCGCCTTGTGGGACACATGATGCAAATGGATGTCAATATCGAAGCAGGGACAATGGCAGCATGTTCGAAAGCGATGCAGCACCCATGGACTGATGAAAATCGTGCTGGTCGTGATGCGAAGACGAAGGAGCGCGTCGAAACGTCGGAGGCCTCTTGTCATTGCCCCTGTGATAACGACGCTAGCCCCTTCGGGTATTGACCAAGCCCCCACCTGTTCCGCCTCCCAAAACGGTCCCATCATCCCGCATCGCAACGACATCCAGCATATCAGATGGGTTATCGTCTTCCCATCTTGACAGGAAACAATCGATTGATGCGCACGTCAAATCAAGGTAGAAAGGCTCTTTGGTTGAGTTCGGCTACAGCTTGTCGCCAAGTTTTACCGTTGCCTGCTGAAGCATGTTCATCGATCTACAAACCAGAAGAATCCTCGGTGTCGCTTTGGAAGAACTACTCAGTCCTTGCCTGCTCTGTTCTCGAGCTCGGTAGCGTCTTCCATGTACTTCACCGAGTGCTTTCGCTGTTCCTCCTTCATGCCAGCCTCGACATCTTGGCGACGCTGCTCAGCCGACACATCACCGAACAGAATATCAATCTCCTCCAGCGTCTTTCCTTTTGTCTCTTTGATGAAAAACGTAGCAAATATGCCCATGGAAAGACAGAAGATGCCGAACATGAGGAATGTTTTCCACCTGCAAAGAACGAGGTCAGTGCATGTCTTGTATGCAGTTTGTAGAGTCATTGTCTTACCCGATGGAGTTGATTGCCGCGGGTGTAATCTTCGTAATAACGAAATTGAAGAGCCATTGCGTGGCTGCTCCCATTCCCACACCGTACGAACGAAGTCGGGT